CAGCATCGCCTGTCTTACACTACCGAGGTTGCTCTCGAAAAATCTTAAAAAGTAAAAGTCTCTGTTGAGACACCTGGCAATTCATGAGTTAGCAAAGATCCAGAAGTGGTTTGCGTCATTGGATGGATCACCTGGTGGTCTTCCATTCAAGCTGCTCCAACCTTCCTTTCCAAGATCAGCCCCTTGCTATGACTGGCGGGAAAGTGTAGTGTTGTTTCGAGAGCATTCACACAGAAATGATACTTCAAGGTATAAAAATAAAATAAAATTCGCAACCCAAGGTTGTAGGATAGGGGTGGGTATTCCTGGAGGTACATACCCCCCCTCCTATTTTACAGCTTTCAGAATGGTTGAAATTGAGACCAACATTTAATGGCATGGACTTCAACACTGGGGGTTTTTTCCCTGTTTTCCCACCAATGTTAACTTATTCAGTGCCATGCTGGTGTTAATTATTTGGGAATGATCAGGCACTGGCATTTTAAAAATATGGCCTGAGCCAGTTTTTAATGTGACCATGCCCAATATCTATCTATCTATCTATCTATCTATCTATCTATCTATCTATCTATCTCAATATCATTACGCACAGGTGTGAATAGGCCCCCCTTCTTGAAATTCAGCTTTTGGAGAGAAAAGGGTCACTCAGCCCTCTTTTAGGATAAGGTTGGGCCAAAAATATATAAGTCGTCCTGAGCAGGGGCACCTGGGGGTCCAGTGTCAAATAAGTCAAGCTGGCAGCTGTGACTGTGCAATTCAAACTTTGCCCCACAAGGGTGATGCACATGAAAAAGGGACAAGGGTTTCGATTGTCTGATTGCCACCTGCATATGCTCTGGCCCCATGGAAGCACCGGATGCAGCCACACCGTGAAAGCTGAGCCGATCTGGGGTTTGGTCAGTGCCTGGATAGGAGATAACCTGGAGCCAGGGCTGAGTCTGCACAACTTGGTTATTAAATCGATCCATTGTCTGGGCTCAAACGATCTGTTGAACCATAAACTAACAAATGGGCTGGCCTCAATCAGTGCTCAGAGCCATGAAAATATTAACCAAGGTTGAAGTAAACCAAGCTTACCGCGATATGTTAAGATATCCTTGAGGTTTTTAATTCACCCAGTTCAATAGGTTGTGTGAATCCAGTCACGGAGTTCATTGGGGAAAAATCTCTCCTATCTATCTATCTATCTATCTATCTATCTATCTATCTATCTATCTATCTATCTATCTATCTTTAGCCATCTATCCATCTCTATCATCTAAATCTATCATCTACAGTATATTTAGCCATCTCTCTCTCTCTCTCTCTCTCTCTCTCTCTCTCTCTCTCTCTCTCTCTCTCTCTCTCTCTCTCTCTCTCT